AACTTGATTTGATCACAGCTCAAAATAAAACAGCAGGTCCCAAACAGAGAAAACAAACTAGCTTTGCCCTAAATTGTTGTTCTAATTATATTTTTCTCAGATTTTCCTAAACAGTCGAATTTTTTGTCCATCAGATGTTAAATGATAATGAATAAATTGTCTTCCAGCTCAAAGTGACTGTTTTTTAAAGGAGGAAGTCTAAAATGATCCACAGCTCTGAGTTGCAGCTTTTTTTCAACATTTATCAGCACATCAGCACAAAGTTTCCCTTCATTTTTTAAATATTATGGAGCTCATTTCCATTTTGGAATAATCAGTAATCTGGATTGATCAGACCTGCTATTCCCTCTGCGACCACAGGGTGGAGCTATACTGCCACATTCATCCCAGTTTGGAGTGAAAAACAGTTAGTCGTTCATCTGATTTTTTACTGTAAAGTCATACAGAGGGATTCAGAAAAGAGACACTTGTATCTACTGGTGTTTTATTGGAATATTCTCTGTTTATTTGTATAAACCTGCCACATTTCCACAATTATCACTAATGTGATCAGAATTTTGGGGGGATTGGACTCACAAAACAAACAATTGTCTGTTTTTTCTTCATGTATGTGGAGCCTGATGTGTTTTTCTTTGGATTGATTCCATAAAATGCTGAGTTTTGTTCATTTAAATGAGTATTTATATGTTTTTGTATTTTGATTTGATTATTACCGGATTATTTTCTTATTTATTTATTTTTTCTGTGTCGTCTAATGATTCTAGGCCTGCTCATCGGACTGTCCCAGACTGCCAGAGAGTCCTCAGAGTGTCACACAGGGACATGCTGGACACACACAGGAGGCTCCTGGATCAGCAGCACGTGGAACAAGACCAAAGCACGCTGTTCCCTTACTTCTGTGAAGCCATCCTTCACAGGATTATCGCAGGATTAGTCTGTAGCCCAAGAAGAGCAACACTAAATGACTCCAATTTTGAAAATCAACTGCTTTTGACTCTAACTAACAGACTGCTTTATGATGCAGGAAGGGAATACACAGTGGGAAAAGCACAGGCGGGGAAGATAAAGGGAGGGACACTATGGGGGAATCTGTTTACAAAGACATTGTGTGTTGTAAGGAGCCCTAATCACTATTGTTCTTGCATGAACACTACTTTTATGTGACCTACTTAATGGTCAAGCCCCGCCTTCCCGCAGGATGCAGCGGGATGTACTTCTAATTTCCTGAGAGAGTCTTCCCAAGGGATCAATAAAGTACTGTCTAAGTCTAAGTCTAAGTCTACCAGTGAGGTACGATTCAAACCAGGAGTGTGCTTTCCCTGTAATGCCCATGTTGGAGAGTATAGACAGACATAATGAGGTTGGAGAGTTCTTGCTGCCACCATGGGCCTTCCTGCACCAGCCTGAGGAGATTGCCCCTCCCTAAGACTCCTCAGGCTGGCAGGAAGTGGTGGACAGACCCATGCTTCACTGAGGAGGGGCAAAACCAAAAGCAACACCAGGAGGACCCAGCCTCCCCTCCACCCTGCAGGGGAGTCCATGGGGGACTACAACCCTGCAGGGGGGCCAAAGTGGCTCGAGAGGGAGGCGTGGTTCAGCGGTGGTGCTGTGGTTACTTTCCAGAGGATCTGAGGGTCTATTTATATAAAATCTGCTTCCATACGTCACTTTGATGACATGCGCACTTGCGTGTTCCAATGATGATGTAATGTTTACTCGTTGCCATGGTGATTGCTTCCAGACTGAGAAACACGCGATAGAATTGGAACGTTAAAAAGTTCAGTCACGTGATCAAAATTCGATAGGAGCAGGTGTCATTTTACGCTGATGAGGACAGGATACATCAGGCTGATACAGTCACTACCATAAAGTTCTATACGTAGAAGCAGCATTGAGTAGTTTGGTTCGTTGCTAGGATACGGCAGCTCTTCCACCATCTTGGATGTAGCTGAACTTCATGTAAAGCAATAAAAGAAAACGGACTGAACTTCATAAAGCGCTTTTCTATGACAGAGTTTTAAGTTAATGCATCTTACTCGCCCATTCACACACGTTAATATATCTGGGAAGCAAATAGGCACAAAAAAAAGTGTGTAACTTTTAAAGTGATGAGTCTAAATGGTTCCTCCTGATGTTTAGGATATAAGGAAGCACCAAACAAGCGTCTGTGCTGTTTTCACTACTAATGCGTGTAACACTGTTACTGTAATATAAATATTGAAATTTAACATGAAACAGCTTGTTTCCAATGGTGGCACTCGGCAACTTAAGGGTGTTCAGGTTGGCCGTTTTGTCCCCAGTTTATGGCATCACATCCTTATTTTTTTAGGGTGAGCAGCTCTGATGATGCGTTTACAGCATCAGACACCGGGCCACCTCGGCATACATCACAGGACATCCTTTGGAGAAGCTGCCCAACAACTAGCCCTGAGATGTCCACCGGTTCACTGTCTGACCGCTGACTCCGAATCTCCACTTTGCCACATCCAAGATGGCGGCGACGTCGACGTCGACGATTCAGCCCTCAATGCGGCGTCAACGTATATATGTCTGAGTGGAGAACTCTGTGAAAACATTTGAAAGAATCTTTATTTTGATTTTAAACGGTACAAAAACGTAAACGAAACAAAATTATCCACACTTTGGTGTCAAGAGTGCGGGATTGCGGCGCCGCGCATGCGCGGTGTTTCATACGGTGGCTGAGAAGTGCAAAATACATTTACACAAAAAAAAAACGTTGAAAATTTAAAAAACAAAATAACATTGTAAGATACACATTCACAATTAAATAAACACATCCATCCATTTTGTGAACTGCTTATTCCCAAATCGTTGACATGAACAAACGAAAAAACAATATAGCATTTTAAGAAACAAATTCCTTTTTTAGGAGACAAACATTTTTTTTTTTAAATGTTTCTTAAAATGTTATGTTTTTTTAATTTGTAAATGTGTTTTCTGAACTTTTAATTTGTATCCTAAATTTGTATATCATAAGGTGTTTTTTTAATCGTAAATGTGTTTTGCACTTCTCAGCCACCGTAGTTTGAGCATGAGACCGGAAGTCCGGCCGGCTGTGTTCGCGCCGATCCGACAGGCAGCTGGAGGCGCCCGGAAGTGGCCAGCGGAGCGTTTACAGCTCTGCTCCGTAAACCAGGTCAGCCTCGGGCGTCCCGGTCCCGGTGTTTACCTCTCCGGGCATGTCTCCCGCGGCCACGGACGACGCTTCGCCTCGCGCCCTCCTCCTTGGACTCCTGCTCTCCCGGGGAAACATGCTCCTCTGACGGTCTCCAGCAGCCGCGCCGACCGGGCTCCCGCCGCGCAGCAGTCGGTGTCGTCGGCCGACCACCATGGCGATGTTCCGGAGCCTGGTGTCGGCGGGGGGCCCCGGAGGGCCCGGGCCCGCGGCGGCCCCTTCCGAGGCCGCCGAGAGCCAGTTCTCCTGCCCCATCTGCCTGGAGGTCTTCCACAAGCCCGTCAGCATCTCCAGCTGCGGCCACACGTAACGGAGCCCCCCCCCCCCCCCTCCTTGATGCTGTTGTTGTTGTTGTTGTTGTTGTTGTTGTTGTTGTTGTTGTTGTTGTGTACGAGCACACAGAGGCAAAACAAGTGACAGAGCAAACCCCCCCTAAAACTTCAACCTGCAGCTTAAACTTCATCGCTCTGTTTTTGATAACAGCCTCCATCCTTCTTCTGGTTGTTTTTCTCCCCTTTTCCTCTAAGAATCAGCTTAAACTTATATCTGTTTTAGACAACAGCTTGCATCCTTCCTCTGGTTGTTTTTCTCCCCTTTTCCTCTAAGAATCAGCTTAAACTTCATCTCTCTGTGTTTGATAACAGCTTCCATCCTTCTTCTGGTTGTTTTTCTCCCCTTTTCCTCTAAGAATCAGCTTAAACTTATATCTGTTTTAGACAACAGCTTGCATCCCTCATCTGGTTGTTTTTCTCCCCTTTTCCTCAAAAAATCTGCTTAAACTTCATCTCTCTGTTTTTGATAACAGCCTCCATCCCTCCTCTGGTTGTTTTTCTCCCCTTTTCCTCTAAGAATCACCTTAAAC